AGAGAGAGACAGAGAGAGAAAGACAGAGAGAGAGAGAGAGAGGGAGAGAGAAATTATAGGAATTGGCTCGTGAGCTTACAGGGGCTAAGATGTCCCACAATCTGCCATCCGCCAGCTGTAGAACCAGGAAAGCAGGTGTTATAATTCAGTCCGAGGCTGAAGAAGGCCTGAGAACCAGGGGCCACTGTTTAAGTCCTCGAGTTCAAAGACCAGAGAACCAGAAGCTCCAAAGTCAGAGGGCAAGAAAAGCGGGATGTCACAGCTCAAAAAGAGAGACAGAATTTATCCTTCCTTCACCATTTTGTTCTATTTGGGCCTTCAACAGATTAATGGCCCACTCACACTGGTGAGGGCAGACCTCCTTTACTCCGTCTACTTATTCAAATGCTAATCTTTTCCAGAAACATCCTCAGACACACCCAGAAATAATGTTTCATCAGCTATCGGGGCATCACTTAGCCCAGTCAAATGGACACATAAAATTAACACTCACATTCATATTGTATTGGGTTGTCGGAAAAGTCATGACGCATTTTTGCAACGAAAAACATAGAAAAAATACATCATGACTTTTCTGACAACCCAATACCATAAATCAGTATTTCATTCCTTTTTGTGGCTAAATAAGATTCTATTTTATGGATATATCACTTTTTGTTTATTCATTTATCAAGTAATAGACACTGGGATAGTTGCTACTTTTTCACTATTATGAATAACACAGGTAAGAACATTCCTAAGTTTTTGTGTGGATATATGTTTTTATTTCTCATGGGTATATACCTAGGAATAGAATTGCTGAGTCATATTGTAATGTATAAATTTGAGGAACTGTCACCTATTTTCCAAAGTGACTGCACTATTTTACATTCTCACCAGCAATTTCTAAGGGGACCAGTTTCACCATATCCACTACTGATTCTTGCTAACACTTGTTTTTTGTCTTTTTTACGGTAGCCTCCCTAACTGATGTGACATGGGTATTTCATTGTGGTTTTGATTTGCATTTCCCAGGTGATTAATAATACTGAGCATCTTTTCAGGTGCTCATTGGCCATTTGTATATCTTCTTTGGAGAAATGTCTATTCAAATCCTTTACCCATTTTTTAATTGGGCTGTTTGTCTTTTATTATTGAGTTATAAATCTGCTTTATGTATTCTGAATGCTAAACTATTATGTGATACATGATTTGTAATATTTCTCCCATTTTGTGTTATTTTTCACTTTTGATAGTGTTATTTAAAGCACAATAATTTCTAATTTTGATGAAGTTCAATTATCTTTTTTGGGGTTTTTTTTGGTTGCTTGTGCCCTTGGTATTACAGCTAAGAAAATATTGCCTAATCCAAAATCACAAAGATTAACATCTATTTTTTTTCTAAGAATTTTATAGTTTTAGTTCTTACATTAAGGTCTTTGATCCATTTGTAGTTATTTTCTGCACATGATGTGAGGTAAGGGTTCCACTTCATTCTTTTTCATGTTGATATTCAGTGGTTCTAGCACAATTTGTTAAAAAGACTCTTCCCCTAATGAATTGCTTTGGCACTCTGTCAAAAATTAAATGATCATAGGCATATGGGTTTATTTCAGGACTCTCAATTCTATTTTATTGGTCTATATGTCTATCTTTATGCCAATAGTAGTTTTAATTGTGTAGCTCTATAGTAAGTTTTAAAATCATTCAGTACGAGTCTTCTAACTTTGTTCTCTTGTTGAAGATTGTTTTAAATATTCAAAGTCCCCTGTATTCCTATATTAATTTTAGAATCAGCTTAACTATTTCTGGGGGAAAAAAAGCCACCTGGACTTTACATATGTGTGTGTGTGTGTGTGTGTGTGTGTGTGTGTGTGTGTGTGTGTGTATCAATTTGGGGAGTATTGCCATCTTAACAGTATTATCTTCCTACCTAAGAAAACAGGATGTCTTTCCATTTATTTATATTTTCTTTAATTTCTTTCAAATATTTGTAGTTGCAGTGTACTTCAGTCTCAGTACTATTGTTGTTGTTGATAATATTTACAGTTCCATAGCCTCTAGGTTAAGCAAAAATTTTTGTATGATACGGTGATACCACAGACTGTCTGTCTCTAAGAATATCAGTTCTAGAAAGGTCGGAAAATACATACCTCCTAAAGGATGGCCAGACACGCTATTAATATCTATATATCTAGTACCACGGCATAAGTAAGGCCACTGCTGATCCTGTCCCTATCTCGTTAAGTACAGAGACTATAGAGCACCACAGTCTGTAGCTCTGAGTGTCAGAACCCACGTTATTTTCTTTGGCAGCTCTGACTTGGTCTAAATTTCTCAGGTTGCCTGTGAAATTAGTGGAACTAGAGAGAATATCCAAAGCATCACATCTCTAAATCCCTATCAATATAAATGCTTCTACATATCTAACCCACAGAGACCGCTGTTCTCTGGGCACCCAAAATATGTTTGATTGAGGTTTAAATAAAAGCCACAAAGTTACAACCCCCAACATGGCTGCTGAGCCCTGTAAGTCAGGTATGAAGATACTGGGGTTTCCATCTAGCACAGAGACTTTTACCCAGGGTTCACTGAACTTTTTGTGAGCCGTTTCATCACACACTATCTGAATATCTATAAACCACAACCTGTGGCCTTGCTAAGACTCTCAAATCTTTATTGCTGATCTGTTTGTAGATAACCACACTTGTACTTTTGTTTTTAAGTCAGCTTGCCTGTTTCCC